CACGCCCAGTTGAAGGCAACCAGGGAGCTGGGCACTGCGCTTCGTTCCATGCGCTTGCACATCACAGCCCAAGGTCAATGGCTGTGCGCTTATGTGTAAGCAACAGCAACAGCAACAAAAACAACAGCAACAACGAATACAACAACAACAGCAATAATGAAAAGCGCTCGAGTACATTTTCACACTCGAATTGACCAAACAAAACGAAACGAGCAGCCAAAGCACCTAAAAAAGAGCACGAAAAGAGAAAAGAAAAGAGAAAAAAAAAAAACAAAGGCAAACGAAAGCCCAGCCTCAGATGGCGTTTTACGCCGTGATACGGATTGGCGTATACGTAACGCTTAATTGCTACTTTAGGGTGTTTAACGAGCACGCACACACAGATACACACATACATCCGTGTGTGTGTGGGTGTATCCTGCACATTAATTATATGGTATACGCGGCATGATTCAGCACTTAAAGAAGTTTCGAGCAACTTTTGTGGCAACTCGTTCTCACGCTCTCACTCTCCCTCACTCTCTCACTCTCTTCCTCTTTCTGGCAAACATCTGGCAACGCTGTAGCGTTGTCGTTTATCAACTTGTATAAATTGTGCATGAATTCGCTTGTGCTTTGCTGTTTGTGTTTGCCAACAATGCAACGAAAGGGCTTTAGAATGTTTCTGTTATGAGTGATTGTTGTCTGTATGTTGGGATAGGGGAGTCCCCCTAAAGTGCTTAGCCTCGGTAATGTCAAAGGCAGACAAATGTTATTTAACGGGCTATTTATTACAGTTATTCTGATTTTAGATATTCTTAATTTTAATTTATTCTTCATTTCATTATAATTTATTTTTACACAAAAACCCTCTCTTCTTTAAGCGTCCGCTCGTTGCTTTAGTCGCAGTTTATTTTTCACAAGAATTACATTTCAGGCAGCGCAGCCATTAGCTTAACTCTCAGCTTATTTAATTATGTTAATTTCGCACATGAAGCGCAATCTGTGTAAAATTAAATTGAAAAATGCTAATCCTTCAATTAAAATAATTTTAAAGAGGCATACATTGATAATGTGTGCTATTTGCTTAACGTAATCATTTATGTACATATGTACATCATTTATGTACATATGTACATCAGTTCCAAGATAATACCATACGCTCATCGCATTCGTATTGCAAGAAACTATTTCTATCTGAGTTTTATCAGTCATCCGCGCAGCTCGCGCGTACTTCAAAGACGAATTAAAAGACAAGTTCCAAAAACTTGCTCTGCAGTAGACGAAACCCGATTAAATCTCCTATACAACAACGAAAACAAAAATAAAGTAAAATAAGACATGCAGTTAATTTGATCGAGTTTTTCAACACTCTCCATCGCCCTGCATTAGCAAGTAAATCAATAGAATACATTTTAAATTCCGCGCAGTTGCGAACACTAAATGCTATTTTAACTGGCTGCTAACAACTTAATAGCTTCCCTAAACCGTGGGGCCCCTTACCCCACCCCTCCCAGCCTGCACCCGTTTGCCTGCTAGCCATTTAAACTATTTGCAACAAATGCCGACACCGATGCGACGCCGACGCCGACGTCGACGCTGTTGCCGCACAATTTGCACAAAGCCAAACGATTGTTATTGTTGTAGCTGGGTGTGTGTGTGTGTCGAGTCCAAGGCTGGGTTATGTGGCTGTGTGTATATTCGTTAACTGGCCACAAGCATTGGAATCATTAAAAACTATTTGCTGAGCGAATGCCACAGCACTAAAGCCGCAGCCACAGCCATAGTCGTCGCCTCCGACTCAGACCCACAGCCAGGAAGAGAGCTTGGATGGGAAGGAGGACTAGGATCCGGCGTACTCCCAGCAGAGCGCGAATAGTGGCAGCAAAAATAAAAGAAACTGGAACAAACACAAATACAGCTGCAATGTGGTTAAAAGCCAGAATAAGCCGAAATACCAAAAAATTGTGTTTCACAGCTCGAAAAATCTAACAGAACAAAATAACAAACACATTTCGGCTGAGAGAAAAATAGCAATACGAATAAATATTTAATTGTTATCGCATTATGCTGGACTGCAGTAGATACATTACCAACCATCAAAGAACCGAATTAGACTAGATATTGAATAGCAACACTAAACATGAATAACAAGTAAGAAAGCTCTAGTCGAGACTGCTCGACTACGAGATCCCCTGAACCCTTGGAGCAATAGATATTTCAATAATTTTTCGCGTCTTTCAGCTTACATAAGAAACACGACACGAACTGCGAACTGCGACACACATACACTCACACATGCATACACACACAAACGCACACACAGGCACACATACACACACACGCATACAGACACACATACACACACACACAC